TTACCACGGTATGAAAATACCTAGAATCCAGGCATAGCTCTGAAGTATCTGCGAACTCTTGAAAATAACACCATTTCACTTGAAATTCTTACAAAAAAATTAGTCACCTTAATGGCTCTTGCAACTGGGCAGAGAATACAAACATTAAGTCTTATTGACATTGATAATATAATAGAGCAGGACGGTAAAATTGAAATTAAAATCTCTGATAGAACTAAAACAACAGCTATTAATAAAACTCAACCTTTGCCTGACTTGCCATTTTTTGAAAAGGATCCAAATATTTATTTGTGTAGCAAGAACTCTTCAAGTGTATTTGGAAAAGACAAAAGAATTAAGAGGATCATGCAGAGCCTTATCATTGACTCATAAGAAACTTTTTCATAAGGCCACTCCACAAACCATTGGTAGATGGATCAAATTTATTCTACAACAGAGTGGCCTGGATATAAGTCAGTTTAAAGCACACAGCACACGCCACGCAGCAACATCTGCGGCAGCTAGGAAAGGGGTCAGTTTTGACACTATAAGATTGGCGGCAAATTGGACGCAAAATTCTAAGACATTTGCGAAATTTTACAATAGACCCTTAGTTTGTAATAAAGAATTTGCAAATACAATTTTAAATACGTAAAAAGAACCTTTTTTATATTAAGTACTATAATAATTGTAAGGGTTTTAGAATATACATTTAGTTTAACCCTATCGCTTATAGTGTCCTCATATGAGGACATAAAATTCTTCATTTTTTGTATTACTAGAACAACTGTGGTGACTGTTTATTCATGTTGTCCTCATACAGACACACAAAAAACTTTAATTTAACACATATATCGCCACCTATTTGTGGGTAGAAGCACTACAAAACGGATTTGAAAATGTGATGTAGAAACCATTTTGTAACTTTCCTGTAACAGTCGTGATATAGGTAGTAAAGAAGTGTACATTTAAGCCCAGATAATTAGACTTGACTAAAGTTATGCTAGTTTAGTTGATTTTGTTGTCTGAAAAGTATTGTGCTCATAGTAGAGTAGAGTAGAGTAGAGTAAATTTTATTTGCATAAATCTTTAAACATGATTGAGAAAATATCGTCACATTATTAATTACAAATTAAAATATATAATATATATATATATATATATATATATATATATATATATATATATATATATATATATATATATATATATATAGACATCACACATTTAAAATACATTAACATTACAAATTAAATATGCTGATTAAGGAGAAGGATAGGCCAGGCACTCCACCACAGTATAGGGCTCAATGTCAACTAGGTGGTGAAAAACCTTTCTTTTAAAAGTTCTATAGTGTGTTTCCTGTTTAATGTCAGATGGTAGACTGTTATAAAATTTAACACACGCATACAAAGGACTTCTCTCTGTTATAGACAATCTGTGAAGTGGCAAATTCAAGTTAAGGCTTCTTGTACTATATTCATGATTGGGAAGCAGGTGATAAAACAAAGAAAAATTTTTAAAAAGGAACATAATACATTCAAATATATAGATGGCTGAGAAAGTGAGTATATTGAGTGACTTGAATCGGCCTCTACATGATTCTCCCGCCTTTAGTCCTAAGATCACCCGGACTGCCTTTTTTCGGACTATAAAGACAGTTGAGCTATCTACTGCAGCACCCCAGAAGATTACTTCATATCGCATAACAGAATAAAAGTTTGCATAATATACTGATAGTAAAATCCCCTGGTCCAGATAGCTCTTTAACACTCTTAATGAGTAGCAGGCTCTATTCAGTTTTTTTGTTGTATTTTGTATTTGTTCCCCCCAATTAAGATTCTGGTCAATATGGATACCAAGAAATTTAACTGATCTAGCAATTTCCGTGTTTTCTGATAGAAAATTAATTATATCTGGAAACTGTTCTCGTGACTGGCTGGTTCTAAAGTGGACAAAAACTGTCTTATCAGTATTAAGCAACAACCGATTTCCACTGAACCACTGTTCAGCCTTGCTTAGAATTTGCTCTGCCACTGTGAGGAGTGTTTCTAAAGTTTTTTCCCAGAAAAGCACATTTGAGTCATCAGCGAAATTTACAAGGTTTGAGGAACAACTAACCACCGCATTTGGAAGGTCGTTTATGTAGACCAAAAAGAGAAAAGGCCCCAGAACACTCCCCTGTGGTATACCTAATTTTAAATTGATCGGTTCAGAGTAAACCTTATATATGAGGACAGTGTAAATAAGTGAACTAAATTAGAGGTAAGTTCATTTTTGTGATGGATATTATAAAATATTTAATTTGCTGTGTTCTTCAAGTACTACTTACTGCTTTAAAATGAGCAGGAGAAAGCCACTTACATATGAAGAACCGCTTCAAGAATTGGAACGGGGCTTGTTGGATATTAAATGTTTATCAGATGACGAAGACAAATTGTCGGAAATACAGAGCAACACAGGTAATTTTTATTACTACCGAACTAAACCATACAGAAATCAATAAGGGATTTTTTTGTAGAGCAACTGGATCAAAATATTAACGAAATTGATGACATTATAGTTGAAGAGGTCGCTAATGAACAGAATGAAGGAACTTATGCTGGTGCAGGTGCAAAAAGCCAGGATGTAAAGGAAAGTCAAAGGATACCTGCTGCAAATGTAACATTCATTTGTGCCTGGATAAACAGAAAATTTGTTTTTTTGATTATTACACATAATACTATTTGTAATTACATTAAATCTACTACAAATTTGAGTTTCTACCATTTTATTTCCTCTTATTCACAATGTACTCGTATGGGGACAACCTCTAACTCGTTTAAGGGTAAACAAAAAATTTTAAAATTACATTTAAAAATCTTAAAAAAAAATGTACCAACATAATATATTTTTTGCAATACGAAATAAAAAGTCGTGAGGGAAAGGGTTAAGGTTGGATTAAAACATTAAAACCTTATGTTATTTGCATAGTGATAGAATGTATTAACTAATTGGCTTAGGCCATTTTTAGATAGGAACTTTACATTTTAGAAACATATAACATGTTGTGCATTATTATAATAAAGTTGTTGCAACGACTTTAAACATCTACAATTTATTTATTTATTTATGAGATGAGGCCGAATATAATCTTAAGATCAAACAAACTTACCTAAAGTTCGATCTTGGTATATGAGGCGTCATCGAAATAAATAAGTTCCAACCCATCCCAAGACATTTTGGAGAAATGCCCATAATATGTTGCAACAACAACTTTCAAATAGACTGAAGAATATTTTCGAGCCTCGAGACGGTGTGGATGTGAAGAGGCCAGACTGCTTATACTTTGAAGTGTGAATGATTAGCCAGAGACGGAGGTACTACAATTTATTTATTTATTTCGATGAGGCCTCATACAATCAAGATCAAACTTCAGGTAAGTTCGTTTGACCTTAAGATTTTATTTTAAAGACTGCCTTCCTTAAAACCAGTGATAATAATTTAGTTTGGCAAATATATAATACTTTATTGGTAAATTATTAATGGATGGTTTATATAAACCATGGTGAGAAAACAAAAAGACTAACAGTAGGGTAAAATTCTAAACACATCTGCTACATAGACTAGAATATGCTGGTGTGTAGGATGGACCTATAGATTTATTTAGAATATGGATTTTAACAGTACAATAAATACAAATACTCAGAAAATTGTAGCCAATGTACAACTACCAATCCATGAAAATATATCACATATCACAAAACAGTACAAGCTATTGAGATCTAGAAATCCTCCAATTAGAAGTGTCTGGAAAATTATGATATACATTGGCAATGGTCAACAAGATGGATGCCAACAATGGAATCAGACTATATTCAGATATCTGCCTCACCTCAAGGCTTCATAGGATCAAATCTGCCACAGCCTACCTGAGTGAGGCTGAGACAGACCTATAGATGATCAGTATGGTAAGAGATGAGTGCTTGTGACTCAGTTTGACTTGTTACATAGATCCTTATGGATGAGGGTGTATGCTTAATAAAAAGGTATATATAATTAACTCTTAACTACAGAGATCCAGTATTTCTTACCAGTGGGGGTCCCAAAATGCAGATTTCATGGTAACCCCACCACTTACAATTTCATGTGTCTCATGAATCAGTTTGTATAACAGAGCTAATCAAATCTGTCGGCGTGTATTGTGAATATTTTCATTTGTAACACACATCAAAAATCTTAACCAGTCAAATTTACCTGAGGTCTGTTTTTAAGTAAGTATTTTTAATCAGTCTTATATGGGTAAAATGTGAACTGTTTATAATATTTTTTATGTTTTTAGGAAAAGAGTAATGGACTCCGAAAGTCATCCCAGACCTTCAAAGATAGTTAATTTTGGTGATAAATATTTTGAGGAAATTTTGCAAAAATAGAATGAGGAAAATGATTCTGTCGCAAGGAATGTGGACTCAGATGCAGGGTAATTACGAACAGACCATGATACTGCATCACTGAAGAAAGAAAAACCACTCATATCTGCATAATGTGCGAGACTCTGATATTATTGCAATGCATGGCAAGAGTTTGCAAGGAATGCGCCACTTAATTTTTTTGACAATGCAGATTTTTTCTCATGGATGTATAGATTTTCGTAGAATGCTATTTTATGTTTCTATATTAGGTTTATTTATTTAAAAAAAAATCTAAATTTTTGTTCATAGCATTTATCGCTGTTTGTTTCAATAGACCAAAAATATTTTTTAATAGATTATTCTTTAAAAATCTTGTATTTTATTATTAAAATCAGTCATTTTACCAGTTCTCCCATATCTAGACACTACAGAAAAATACATAATGCATTTTTTATTATTAACTATAACTCCATTTTATAATGACCAGTTAAAAATACAGGGGCTCTGTTTTTACATTGTAATAATGGAATGTCTGTACTTGAGGGTTAAAATTGCTACCTGTGTATATTTCATATTTTTGTGATTATGAATAATCAATAATAATGTAAAACAAAACTGGTATTTTCTTACCTACTCTGTTCTATGACAACAGTATATTTTCCCCAGCCTAGCTTTGCTAAGTGATATGCTACAGAAGCCCCCATCACCCCAGCCCCACAAATTACAACTTGAGCTTCGTTTGGAAATTTTTCTATGTCCAAAGATGTAGCAGTGTTTGAAAAACATCTTAATGCTCTGGTTTGGCTTTTTTTAAATGTCCTGAGGCACCTGTAAAACATACTGAAAACTGATGTTTCTGAATTATTTAATTATGATAGGTTATTTCTCTTTAATCATATTTTTAAAAATTTACAATAACTTAGAATAAATATATTTTTGGATTATACAACTCATGCATTACTGGAATTGTTTTTATTTTGATTGACTTGACGTTAACCAAACAGGGCAGTCCAAGTTGTGCAGATTGACAGTTAATCTCCAGCCACACATGGGTTGACTGTGCTACCGAAGTGAAGGAACGTCGACGGAGAAAAGAAGAGGAGAAAGGAGTCAGCTGATGTCTGCCAGAACACGAATATCATCACACTACGAGGCAACAACGAAAAGAACTCTTACAGTTTTCTTACTTGTTTTTAGTATGTAGTTATTGTTAATAAAGCAATAAAACAGTTTAAAGTGTGCCCAGACTACCTTGCTCCCCGCAAACAGGCCACATTGGTGACCCCGAGAAAAAAAAAACTGTAAGTAAGTTTTATACACAAAGATGACAAACTCTGAACAAACAATGCCAAATATAAATATTACACCGTGCGAAGGCGATGACCATTCGTTAATTGCACGGGTAGGCATCAAAGCGCCAGAATTTTGGCGCACTGAACCAGAACTATGGTTTTCTCCGACGGAAGCTCAGTTTCGACAAGCCAAAATCACAACTGACAACTGTAAATTCGACCATACTGTTGCTAGTTTAAACAGTGAAGTACTTATAGAAGTAGCAGACATAGTAAAGAATCCTACTGCTGGCAATGCTTATATACAACTAAAAGCTCGACTTCTAGACAGGTATGGGACCAGCTCAGATGAAAAGATCCACAAGTTGATGGAACTCACTCTGGGTGACTTAAAACCCACTCAACTACTCCATCGAATGCAAGCTTTTGGCCATGGATAGCATTAGTACGCAAGTTCTCAAAAATTTTTGGGTGGACCGCCTAACCACCTTCAGTTCGAAGCGTTATATCTATTCTTGATGGAGACCTAGAAGAACTTGCTAAGAAAGCCGATACGTATCTCCGGTGTTCCAGTTTTCCAGCCATGGGTTGTTACCGAAAACTCTACCTTAGACAAAACAGTGGCTGCATTGAGTGGCCAAGTGAATGCTTTATCCAACAGATTAACTGTAGCTGAAGAAGGTCAACAGATTCAAATGGTCAAGACTACCAAGTCATCATCTGACGAAAAGTGTTACTACCATCGAAGATTTGGTGCACATGCAAAGAAATGTAGACCACCCTGCAATTTTACAAAAAACGATCAAAGGGCGCAGTAATGGCGGCAACCGCAGCCCTCACATACCACGCCCGCCTCTTCATTACCGATAGTGCTCTCCCAACTTCAATTTCTTATTGATACAGGGGCAGACCTAAGTGTGCTTTCCACGTAAAATCTGCACTGCGACTCAAGCCAGCACTGTATGCCTGTATTCTGCCACCGATCGTGCATACAAACATATGGTCAGAAACAGCTTACACTAAATCTTGGTCTAGGCCAACCTGTAACATGGACATTTATAGTCGCAGATGTCACCACACCCATACTAGGAGCCGATTTTCTGACGTACCATGGCATAAGTGTAGACATGAGAAACAAACGACTAGTAAGTCCAAGTATGTCAAGCAGTATTACCTGTGTGTCTCGTCGTGTTAGGGTGCCAGAAGTAGGCTTATCCACTGCCCATCCTTATGATCGTCCAACTGCTGCTATACCAGAGGATACTGAAAGAGTCCAGCACTATATCGAGACTCGAGGAACACCAGTTTTCTCTAAGCCACGAAGACTTCCACCAGACCGTCTTCAAGCTGCACGAGCAGAATTCAACGAGCTCATGCGAACAGGCATTATCCGACCATCAAAGTCATCTTGGGCCAGTCCACTTCACTTAGTTCAGAAGTCCAATGGACGATGGCGTGCCTGTGGAGATTTTCGCCGTTTAAATGCCATGACGAAACCAGATCGCTACCCGATACCGCACATCCAGGATTTTGCTAACCAGCTACATGGTAAGAAAATTTTCTCTTGCATCGATTTGGTACGTGCTTTTTACCAAATTCCAGTCCACCCGAAGGATGTCCAAAAGACGGCTGTAATAACCCCTTTTGGGCTGTACGAGTTCCTCCGAATGCCGTTCGGTTTGCGAAATGCTGCCCAGACGTTCCAGAGGTACCTCGATCACTTTTTCGAGAATGCTCATATGTGTATGTATACATTGACGATATTTTGGTTGCCTCGGAGACTGAGACTGAGCATGAGCAACACCTGGCATCAGTACTCCGGATTCTGAAGCAAATGGACTCCAAATCACAAGGATAAATCAAAATTCCGTAAACGTGAAGTAAACTTCTTGGGTGCCACGGTATCCCCAACTGGCGTTCGCCCATTGCCGGCTAAAGTTAGCGCGATTCGCAAGTTTCCACAACCTACGACCTATCGACAGCTACGACGATTTATGGGTATGCTCAATTTCTACAGACGTTGGTTACCTAATGCTGCCAATGAGCTAATGCCACTAACGGAGTTATTGTCTCAGCAAAAGAAAAAGCAGCAAGAACTAACATTAACACCAGCAGCCGCAGCAGCTTTCACCAAGGTCAAAGAACTCTTAGCCTCGTCGACTGAATTGGTCTTTCCAGCACCAAATGCCCAATTGAACATGTCTGTTGATGCCTCAGATGCTGCCATCGGCGGTGTTTTGCAACAGCTTATAGGTGAACACCTACAGCCCATCGCTTTCTTCTCTCGAAAGCTTTCTACGACGGAGCGAAACTATAGCACTTATGACCGAGAGTTGCTTGCCATATTCAGTGGCATACATCACTTCCGCCATTTTCTTGAGGGCATGCCGTTTACCATTTATACTGATCACAAGCCTTTAACGTTTGCCTTCCAACAGCGACATGAGCGGCAGTCTCCACGACAGATACGTCAACTAGAATTTATTGGCCAATTCTCGACCGATATTCGACACATAAAGGGCACAGCCAATATCGTTGCCGATTGTCTCTCACGACCTGAAGTAGACGCTATCACAACACCCATTACCATTGACTATGACCGGCTATCCGAAGCTCAGACTACAGATGAGGGTCTTCAACAGACTCTGAACGATCCTGCCAGTTCCTTACAACTGCAACGCATAGTTCTACCAGATAGCCAGCGACCTATTTATTGTTCAGTCCAAGATGGACGTATACGAGTTTATGTGCCAGCTGTGTTCCAAAGAGATGTTTTCCTAAAGTTCCACACGCAGTCCCACCCAGGGCATGCTGCTACATTACGAATGATTGCTGAACGTTTTGTATGGCATAACATGAATCGCCAAGTCAAGCAGTGGTCACGAGAGTGCATCCAATGCCAACGTGCCAAAATTGGACGTCACACCTTTACACCTGTGACACCTCTAGGAATGCCAGACGATAGATTCGCACACATACACATAGACATTGTGGGCCCACTTCCAGCTAATCAGAACTTTCGATATCTGCTCACAATCATCGACCGTTTCACAAGATGGCCAGAGGCCATACCTATCTCGGAGATTACAACCGAAGTTGTCGCACAGAAGCTCCTTGAGGGATGGATATCCAGTTTGGCGTGCCAGCAACCATAACAACGGACCGAGGTAGGCAATTTGAGAGCCAGTTGTTCCGCAGCTCAATGGATTGCTAGTGTACAACATATTAAAACCACTGCCTACCACCCACAATCAAACGGATGTATTGAACGTTTCCACCGAACGCTCAAGGCTGCTCTCATCGCCGCGGATACAGTATCGTGGGTTGAAGCCCTCCCTCTGGTCATGCTAAGCCTTCGAAACACTTTCAAACAAGACATTGCATGTACAGCCTCCGAGTTAGTGTATGGTACCCCAATGAGTCTCCCTGGACAGCTTCTTGTCCCTAGTGCTGCTACACCCGACGAGCATAGTTTTGTCCAACGACTACGTGAGACCATGGGAGCATTGCGTCCTGTACCGACGAGCAACCACTCAGCCCGTACTGCCTTTGTCCATCCGGATCTACAGACTACGAGTCATGTGTTTGTGCGGACCGATAAAGTGAAGCTCCTCTTACACCTCCTTATACCGGCCCCTTTAGAGTGATAGAACGAAGTGATAAGTTTTTAACTGTGGATGTCCAAAATGTTCCTCAGCGAATTTCCATGGACCGACTCAAACCAGCATATATTCCAGCGGCCCAACAGGTGCAGGAAGAACATGCATATGCCAACCGTCTGATGAGCAACACAGGTCATCATAGCCGTTCGAAACCAGCAAGTTCCTCACTGGAGGGGAGCCCTGTGGCAGATTGACAGTTAATCTCCAGCCACACATGGGTTGACTGTGCTACCGAAGTGAAGGAACGTCGACGGAGAAAAGAAGAGGAGAAAGGAGTCAGCTGATGTCTGCCAGAACACGAATATCATCACACTACGAGGCAACAACGAAAAGAACTCTTACAGTTTTCTTACTTGTTTTTAGTATGTAGTTATTGTTAATAAAGCAATAAAACAGTTTAAAGTGTGCCCAGACTACCTTGCTCCCCGCAAAACAGGCCACAAAGTCCAACACATAACCTCAAACCGAACTGTCAAAATGTCTGGAGGGCAAACATTGAATAACATTGTGATTTGCAGTAATATTGTCTATTCGCTTAGCTAGGGCATATTTTGACAGACTCATTGTCGGAAACCTACAACACAACAATTCCTACTTCTCAGTATTAATAGCTCAAGTGTACTACTATTGCAGACTTCTTTCTTTGAAAAAAAGAAGAATTATTCTAAGTGGAAGTGTATACTAAACCCATCAAATTTTCCCTGTATATTTAAAATATAATATTTGAATTGTTACAATTTAAAATATTGTAGTAAATATTTGTATTATTCGCGTTGTTTATTTAATCTAATATAGTTTTATTGTTTTATTATCTTTGTTTAATTCTTTTGTTAGTTATATTCAGTTAATTAGTTAGTTATATTTTAAATTTTATTATTATGGATA